AAAAAAAAAAAAAAAAAAAAAAAAAAAAAAAAAAAAAAAAAAAAAAAAAAAAAAAAAAAAAAAAAAAAAAAAAAAAAAAAAAAAAAAAAAAAAAAAAAAAAAAAAAAAAAAAAAAAGAGAAAAAAAATACTAAAAAGCTGGTGGTTTGGCAGGAGTTTGTGGGGAGGTTGGTCTACCTTATAGGCAACACGAGCAGGGCATTTCTTTCCAAGGCCTAGAGGTGGGGACATGTGTCTCAGCATCTCATACATGTCTGTGTAACTGATGCGACCGCTGGGAGTCAACGGGGAGAGCAGGACACGGAAATCAAAGCAGACCGAGTGGAAGGACAGGAAAAAAAAAAGGGGGGGAAGGGGGTGGGGAAAACGGCAACACAATGGAGCAAACGAAAAGGGGGAGAGAGAGAAGGGAAAGCAGACAAGAGAACAGAGATCTGGTTAATCAGATTTCTCGGGAGAACAGAACCGAAAGGAAGAGGAGGGTGAATTGAAAGGTTTCTTCCGTTGCTGTTGTTTCATCGCCCGAGGTCTCCTCCTCAGCTGCAGGGACAGCCCCTGGCAGAGCACGAGGGTCCCTGGGGGGAATGATTGATGGTTCTGCTCCGGGACAGGCTGTGGGGAGGGCTGGGGGTTGGCTGGCTCTCCGTGGGGTGGAGGGACGGGGGGAAGGTCCCCCTGCTCGCCCCCCAGCCCAGTCAATCCAGAGGCTGTGGAGTTCACCATGCCAGGGAGGGCTGGCAGGCAGAGTTATGGGACAGGGAGAGAACAGGGCTTACAGCACGGTCAGCTTTCCTTCTGGGAACGAGGACTTGGGGATTTTAGGGGAGCCGGTGGGTTAGGAGGGAAACAAAAAGCCAATCCCAGTGTGTTTGCTCAGGGACAGACTGGGACTGCCAAGCCAAGGGTGTGACTCTGCAAACCCTCAGCAGCTGGAATTTCTGCTCCAGCCGGAATTTCTGCTCCAGCCTGAGCTCAGGTTTGGCAAAACCAGAGCCCAGCACTCCATTTTCAGGAGGGGGACCTATTTTTCCCTTGCATTTGGTGGGGCCCCTCTTTCATCAAGCCAATGTCAACTGGTTGTCTCCATCACCAAGGGCAGCTGTTCCTGTTCCCACTCCCAGGAACTGGGAACTGCAGAGATTTGGGAAAAGGCCCTTAGACCACCCCGTTACTGAGGTCATCTCCCTTCAGCACACGGTGGTGGTGGAATAGAACCCTGCCCTGAAAATCAAAGGGTGCAGAAACAGCAGGGAATTCTCCTCCTTCACCTTTTTCCCAAGTATTAAAATTGGGAACATGACTATGACAATCTCACTTGGTTTTCCCAACGAGCTGCCTGCTTATTATAATTTGCAAATCTGTGCTGCCTGTCAGCTGAGGAGACCCAAGGATACTGCAGCATGTTATTAATTAAACTTTAACCCCTGGAAAAGCAGGACTATCATCTCCTCTATCTCAGGAGGGCAACCAAGACCTAAGCACCCCTATAAATCCCCTTTTCCAAGCAGGACAGCTACAGAGGCAAAACCTGCAAACCAACCCAGTGTCCTGACATGGGTCTCAATTCCTATATATGAGGAGGAGGGGGTGGAAGAGAGAACTTACCCAGCCAAAAACATCTATTCCTGTCCTTGGTAACTGATGCAGTTAAAATACCACCCAGCTTTTATAGCCCAGAGCGAATTTAAAGGCTGCTGAGAGACACAAGTTGTAATTGGAGCCAGTGTCTTCTTCCCCCTGGCTCCTCTCCTGCTCCTGGGCTGGGGCTATGGGGTCTCCTGCCTGCTCTGCAAAGCTTGGGAGGTCTAAATCCCCAGGCAGGTGTGGAAAACACCTGGGCTGAAGTGGAAGAGAAAAGCAGTTCTATGCTGGCTACTTCCACCCTTCTTCATCCTCTGCTCTCCATCACTGCAGGAAATGCCCTGTGCTCCTCCTGGGCTGATTTCTTGGCCAGATCTGTCCTTAATTCCATCCCCTCAGCTCCCAAGCATGGAACACCTTCCCTGTGCCATTAACAGGAGGTTTCACTGGGTGTCCATCATAATTTGGAGACAGAATTTAGCCCCCAAGGCAACCCGTGGCTGTTGAACCGTGAGAAGATCATCCCTCTCCCCAGCCAAGGTACCCACCCCCCTCTGCTGCCCAGTCAACCACTGCCCAGATCCAATGTCTTTTGGGCTCAGGTGAGGGAAGGTTGATCATTCAGCTGGAGTGACAGTGCTACAAAGCCCAAACAAAGTGGAATTGCCCCTCCTTGGGGTGCCATTTCTCTCCAGGGTATATATATATATATATATATATAAAGTGCTGGGATGCTTTTCCCCAACACTTCCCCCCAGAGCCTTCAGGATGGAAGCTGGGGGGGTTCACTGTCTCATAAAACTGCCTGTCTCCAGCCAGCTGGGGTGTGGGAGTAGACAGGGAAGAGATGCATCGAGGAGAAAGGAGGCAGTCAGTCAGTCAATCATTCCTTTTTTTTTCAGGCAAGGGGTTAGTTATGGGAGAGTTTCTTTTCTCTACTGCATTTGCACTTGGAGGGGGGGATAAAAAGAAACAAAACCAGGACTAGAGATGCTGCAGGGAGTCTCTGAAGTTCCAAACCTTGTATGCCACCCTATGAGGGCACTTCTTTCCTAAGCCCAGGGGTGGAGCAATTACACGTAACAAATTGTACATATCCTTATAATGAATCCGGCAACTGGAAAGGAAACATCAGAGGTTATGACAGCAAAAACCAGGAGGAAATCAGCTTTTCCTCTGGAAAACAGGAGGAGTTGGAAGGGCAGAACATGCTGTAAAGGAAGGTTAGTCCAGCAAAAATTGGGCTTGCAAGGAAAGAGCGACTTTAACACAGAGAGAGAGAGAGAGAGAGAACTTCCAACTGCTCACCAAACTTTACATCCTTGGATTTCCTTCTGTGCAAGGCTTTCCAACCACTTGGTTGCCTTTATCACTCATGTTTTAGTTCCCTGTGCCTGAGCATCTGCCTCCAGCCTCTCCTACCCACTCCCCTCCCAGCCAACCCAGAGCCTGCAGCACACAAAGAACCTTTTTGATGGGTTAGAGCTGGTTCAGAAGAGCTTGGGAAGCTTTACCTTCCACTGTTCCCTCCCACACAACCCCAGCAGGGCTGTTCTCTCGTGCAGGGGCACTGAGCAATTTGCTGCAAGTCCAGAAATTCTCATCTCAGAGGTTGGCTTGGCCACTGGCACTGGGAAAACACAGCTTTTGTTGCCAGCAGGTGAAATCAGACACCTCACAGTGGCTTTCTGGTCACTCTCATTAACTCCCAACAATATGTCCAGCTAATTTACAAGCAGGGTTCCCTTTCTTCATCTTTTGCAAGTAACCAAATCATAGGCAAAAAGAGCTGAGCCTCCAAATTACCTCTGAGGAAAGCTGAGATGATTTGGCTTGGCTGTGTTTATTTTGGTACTTTATATAAAGAAGGCTGGAATATTTTGGAATATCTCCTTCAATATTACAGCTTTTTTGGATGGGGAAAAATTAAGGTCTATTCAAAGCCTTCCCAATCCACTCAAACCTATTAATTCAGAAACAGATCAAATGGAACTGTGCAAGTCTTGGCTGGAGGCCTAATTGTGGTTATAAAAAGTATATTGGTTTAACTGAGTCAAGAAGTTGACTTGACTTTACTTACAATTTTGGAACGATTTTGCAAAATCTGGATGTAGGAATTACGTCTGACCAGTCCCCTGAGCTCTCTGAGAGCTCCTGGAAGGCTTGGAAACCAGCAGATGTTTTGCATTGCAAGGCACAAAATGAGGACAAAACAGGGATTCTTTCCCAGGTTCATGGAATTGTGGACTGGTTTGGGGTGGAAGGGACCTTCAAGCCCATCTCATTCCACTGATAGACACCTTCCACTGGCCTAGGACACTTCCAGGGCTGGGGCAGCCACAGCCTCTTCTTTAAATCTGAGTTTTGGTTATTTCCCTCAGCATTCTTTTATCCCAGAAAGCCAAGAGAAAACTCCCCTGCACCTCCTGCCCCTCACCCCACTGAAGGTGCTTCCAGTTGTTCCCTCTTTGGGACAACTCATGGGAATGGGCTGGCCAGACCAGTATTCCCAGTATCTCTAAGGGCTGAGCACTGGGAAGGTATAAGGGAGATAAAGTGCTCACTTTATATATGTTGAACAAAGTAAAGCTCATAGAAACCTGATTTTGTTTGGCTTTTTCCATTTCATCCTTAAATCCCGTGTTTTCACTCCTTTCCTGATTAACTCCCAGCTCCCTCAAACCACCCTGGGTTCCCTTATTTCTCTCTCTCTCATTCTCTGTTTTTCTTTGAGCCCAAGGCTTTTACCACCCCTGAATCCCACAGTTTCCCCAGACTTACCCCTCCAGAGTGGGCCACATCTAGAAAAACAGCTGCTAAATGCCTTTTGAAATTCCTTTTGAATGCTTTTCCCCAGAAAAGTTTACAGAGAGTTGGATTTTGTAACAGAACCAAAGGTGATATCATAAATAGAGATGTAAATACACATAAAGGCTAATTTTAAAATATTATCTATATAACAAAAATACAACAAGACTTGTGCTTTTTAACCATGCAGCATCTTTCACGGAAGGATCTTAATCTGTGGGAAGTGGGCAAACACTGTCATTCCCTTTTTTTTTGAGGACAGTTAAAGGGGAGACCTTGAGAGAGGTGATCAATGAGTGACCAACTCAGCCCCAAATCACAGAATCATCAAACAATAGGATGAATTGGAAAAAAAATCTCTGAGATCAGAAAGATCAGGAAGATCTTAGATCAAAGTGATTAAGAGATTAATTCTGGCCCTAAACCGGGAAGGGGTTTTTAAACTGTGGAAATTTTCGTCCCACTCCTGAAAATGTCAGTGCTTTCAGTGGAACTATTCACACTCTGCCAACATCAATAACGTCCCACCAGAGCATAAAGGGAGCAAGGTTAGGAGAAAAACAGAATTAGGATGTTAATAAATGACATATTCTGCATTAACAGCTCTGGAAGTGAAAAGGTTTTGGCCCCCCGAGTGAGTCACAAAATGTAAAGTGTCTGCTCAGAGTTAACAGAGCGAGAAATCTCTCAGTAAACTTCATATTTGTGCCTCTGATGGGTGGAAAGTTCCTGAACGCAGAAACATTAAAAAAAAAACACATTAATCCTAATTTTTTCCCCTTCTTTGCAGGTGTGTTACTCCTCCCACAGACGTTCATCAGAGCCAGGGCTATTTTTGAAGGAGCAAACAGGCACTCCCAAGTTTTCAGTCTCACTGAGGTTTTCTGTAAGAGATAGGATTGGATTTGAAAAAGGAGGGGGGGAAAAAAAATCTATTTACTGCCTGCCAAATACCCACAAAGGATTGTCTGTGTTACAAGCAGGAAAACCTGCTTGGAGATTACAAGCTGTGAGTAAATGTGGAGTAAATTCAGGCTGGTAGTAGAGATGGCTTTGAGGTGGTTAAAATCCCCCACAGTTCAGAGAAATGTAAGCATTTTGAGGTAGGTTTACATTTAAAGTTGCCCTAAATCATTTAAACTGAGGTTTTAATTGCATCCTAGCAGGGAGTTTGAGATGCTGATTATACCAGTACTTTCTGCATCTGTCTCAGCTGAAGGGAAACAAAGAAGAGGGGAAAGATTGGAGGAGCTGGAGGCATTAAAAATACAGAGGAGATTCACTGCAAAGTAGCTCATGGGGAGGAAAATGGAGAAAAATTAGTAGAGCTTTAAATTAAAAAAAAAAAGAAAAAAAAAAAGTCTCCCACCAGGCAAATTCTCGAGGTGCAGAATATCAAGGAAATTACTGTGACCTGTGAGAGAGCATCTGGAAATGAGAATAACACAGTCACCAGGGCTGATGTGCAGCAACTCTTTGTGGGCAGTGCAGAAAAGCAATCTATTAAATCAGTCTTGCTCCAGAGGTGGTCACAGGTCAGGGCCATTCCCTCAAATTTAAAAAAATTCCTTAAAATCCTTCTTTGTTAACTGTGGGGTCCATCCCAAACCTGTGCCACGGGGTCCCTGAGCCCGGGTGGGAAACTTTCCCTTTGAATAAGGCAAAGAAAGAGATAAACCCCCAAACTAAACCCTTCCCTGTGTGCAGGAACCATCCCCTCCTTGAACACACTCAGACATCGGGAACATTTTATCAGAGGCTCTTGGGAACTGAAACATTTCCAGCCTTTAGCTCATTTTCTTCTGATTATCTCACGTCTTCTGTTTCAACTTCAAGTCTAAAAGCTGAGCTATCATTTAGAAGACCAAAGTTCCCTCGTAGGGTTTGGTGTCATTAGAAGGGGGCTTCCAAAGGCAAAAACGTTGGGATTAATGAGAAATGGCTGTTTTTAAAAAAAAAAAAAAAAATCACATGTTTTCAGCACGAACCTCCTGCTGGGGAGTGGGTGGGCAGAGGCAGGTGACGGAGTCAGAGCCTGCACAACTTGACTCAGATGTGACACATCCTCTCCCGTGGCCTGAGGGATCTGCACAGGATCTGGGAAACCATTAAGGTGACTCTCAGCTAGGAAACCCCCCCTGCCCAAATGAGGTGTGACAAGGCAGAGCCTCTCCCACCACCTCGAAGTGCTGCCAACAGCGAGAGGTTTGGGCGTTTTTATCTCCGAACTGGGATGCAGAAACCAAAGGCAACGAGCAGCTTTTCTACTTGGCCTTTTAGCCAAGGTAATTTGGATTTCCCCTGGTGATTTTTGGCTGCGTGGGGAGGAGGTTTTTTGCTCTCATGGTTGGGTGGGTTGTGCCTGTTTGTAGGAAAACTCCCTTTTACCGACATCGGGTTTGTTCATCTCCACTGCAGCTGGAGCATCGACCGCCAGTGTTACCGTGGAGCTGTTTTTCCTTCTGAAGCTTTAACTCCTTAAAAGAGGCTCTCTGTGTGTGTACAGGTACAATATTTACAGCCCAGATGTGTCCTCCTGTCCCCCAGCAGGGTCAGTTGTACGTACCAGGCAGCGGGGTCGTACTCAGCCCAGACACGCACGAACTCGTCCAAGTGGTGCGGCCCCAGGATGGAGGAGTCTCTCGTCAGGTACTCAAAGTTGTCCATGATCACAGCCACAAACAGGTTTAACATCTGCAGGCAGGGAGAAAGAAGGCAGTCAGGGAGGGGAAAGGGGAGAGAAAGGAAAGGGGGAAAGGGAAAGGGGAGAGAGGGGAGGGAAAAGGGGAAGGGGAGAAGAAAAGAGAAAGGGAGGGGAAGGGAAGGGA